AGTAGACAGGTGCATTATGGGATGCTGGCGACATGAACCCAGAACCATCCGCTGCACATTGTTGGTCCCAGTGTGCACCAGTGGCATAACCCAGAATACAGACTGGGATAGGCACTGTGGGATAGCTACCCATAATGCATTGCTCTCAAAGTCGGTGGTAGTCTCCTTGCTGAGGACGTGTTACTTTAAACTGTGTTGAATTCTTGTGCACTGCAGGAACATGGACCTTTGACTTTAATAAACTTGGCATTACCTGGTAGTGCAGACATGGCTGAGTCAGAGAACTAGCATATGGGAAAGGTTCATTTAACAGAAGGGTACAACTTTAATTTTAATTCAAAGGAATGATGAGTATGGAGACTGAAAGACAGGCACGTGGCTCACTTCAGAGCGATAGCTTTGCTATTTATGCACGGGGGGGTTATTTTACTTTCTGTGCTTTGTGTCACTCAGGTGAGCACGTAGTTGAGAAATTCTCTAGCAATGATTGTCATGCACAGCCAGTCTGCCAACTGCACTCTCCCCAAACTGAGATCCACACAACACACACAGCAGTGATCAAAGCTGGGTCTAACCACTGTTCAGACCAGAGCTCTCCCGTCCATTACAAGGTTTGGGGCAGCTGCCTGGGCCTCACACTTCGGGGGCCTCTTGGCGGCTATTTCAACCATCGTATGGACGGGATCTGCAGGATCAAGGACAGCCTGGGGGAATTAGCCTAGAGCAGGGTAGCATCCGGAGTCCGTTCTCTCTCTCTCTCTCAACCTGGCAACCTGCTCCACCCTGCTGCCATCGCCCAGCCTTCACTGGGGGAGTGGGTGGAACAGAGACTAGGCCGGGTGGGAAAAGGGGGGCAGGTTGCCCCATCTCCCTAGAGATGGCCCTGATTCAGATACACCTGCACACTCTAAAATCTAGACACTTGTAGACAATGAGTATCATGTATCCCTATTGAGCTCTACTGGAAATGCTTTTCCATGACGAGTGAATCACGCGAATTAGATTGGGTGCTAGCAATCCCCTGGGCTTTAATCCTCCCCTGCCCCCAACACAGATCTCCCCAATTGTTTAGAAAGGGCTCTGCCATGTCAACTTACAGTTATTCCTTCTGACTGGCTGAAGATTACACATGGTTCAGCTCTCTGAGCAGAGCATCCTTTGTGACGGTTCTCCATTGAGAAGGGATTTCTCCTCTGCCTTCAAACTTTCTACCATAGAGGTTTTCTAGCTCAGGTTTGAAACGACACACAAACCATTTCCAGTAAGGTTGCTCTGACATGTCTGGTGTGATGCTCCACTCGGAGTAAGGGGGTCCTCCTTCTCTGTACCTCTTGTAGGGAATGTGTTGATTGTCATTAAGTATGTATAGACAATCACTTGCTACAAGACTGGAACAAATCTCAATAACTAGATGGTCTGTTTTATGCCAACTCCAGCCATTCACACCTTCAGGCCGATGGAAGGGCACACTGTGTTTTCCATCATGACCAGACATGGTGTTTGTGCAAACAGCTGCGCAAAAGGGACACTTCTCCCAGCACCCACCGAGCTGTTCAGTGAGGATCTCATGGGGTTTTCTTGGAAATGGCTCCATATCAATAGCTGCAAAGTCTTTTCGCAGGTTTTCCACAGGATCTCGTGGGGTTTTCTTGGAAATGGCTCCATATCAATAGCTGCAAAGTCTTTTCTCAGGTTTCCCACCACAGGATCCAACGCCTTACTCAGGGCTTCCTTAAGAAACTCCATGTCAGTTACCTCCTGATGTTCAATGCTTTTTAGCTCACTTCTGGGAAGAGTTAAATACTCTTGAAGCCCTCTGCAGAATTCATCCAGCCAGAAGGAGACGTTGCCACTTTTGTCTTTAGTAACTTTAGTTGAGTCACGAATAGCTGAAAGGACACGTCTATGGAAATCATCCAGGGAACTGTTTAGGAAACACTGCAGTTTTGGATTGTCCTTGTCTAAGCAATAATCATCAACACTCTGCTTGATAAAATCCTCAAAAAAGTGTTTTGGGGATTGAATGTATTGCCTGTACTCCGCAAAGTTTTCCTTCTCGGCCAGATACACAAGAATATGGTTTTCTAGGTTGGATCTGTTCCCATTGAAAGCTGGATCAATAGACTTCATCTCACCGGCGATGTCAATGACCGTCCTGTCACAGCGAGCTTGCAGCATAGGAACACAGCAAATGCTGTGATGGAGGTTGCTCCTTGGCAGGAAATCTGGAAGCACTTGAAGAAATCTTCCCTTTTGCTCTCCAGGTAGACGATCGGGTCGTGTGCTTTTTTAAATGCCCTGTGCATGGCTTCAAACCTTCCTGCTGCCATTTTGCATAAAGTTACTGATAAATCAGCTGTGTACTCAGGAGTCAATGTGAATGCTGGGTTCTTAGATGCCAACGTCACCTCTTGTCTTATTTTATTCAGTATTTCATGAATGTAACTGGGACTGTAATCCAGTCTCTCACGCTCCTTGCTACTGATGATCGCTCCAACCCCCTGCATGATACAACCTGTAACCTCCTCTATGCGGTCTCTATCGCACTTCTCCAAAGTCTTCTTGGCCCCATACCATGTTCTCTTCAGGGTGACATGCTTGGAGAAATCAGTAGAAAACCTATCACTGGATGAGGCCTTTAGTTTTTCTGCTGTAACAGAATTCTGTTCAAAACGCTTGAGCAGGATGTTTTCTATATCAACCCTGATGTTGGGCTCCTGAGCAGGAGGGGCATCCGAGGCCACTTCATGGACCCATTTTCCCCACAGGCGGTTAAAGTTCTCTCTCAGTTCATTTTCAGTCAGCCCTTTTAACGACAGAGCCAGCTCTTTGCTCCTTTTCAAAAGCTTATTCTGATACCTTTCCTTCCCTTCATCCAGTTGGTTTTGCTTCTCCCTTAGCCTGATAAGTTCTTCAGATTTCCTCTTTGTTTCATCAATAAGAGATGATTTTAGCTCTTTCAGTTTTATTTCCATGTTTGTTTTCCACTGAATCAATATTTCAGCATCTGAGTCTTCTCTGAAAAACTTTTCGAATTGATCCATAGTGGCAGCGTATTTTTCTCTGACTTCTCCTTCAAGGCTTTCTCTAGTGACTTGGAGCATTTTTATCTGCAGCTCTAGCATGTGACTTCTCAGCTGCCAGCTCCATTGGCTGAATTTTGTTTCTAACCTGTTGTAGGCTGCGATCTCCAGCGTGTTCTTGAAGCTGAAAATAAAGTTCTCGTTCAACAAAGCCTGCCACAAATCACCGATTCGGACTTTTAACTCCGACAGCCTTAAAACTCTGCCCTGGGATTCCTGCTTGGCAGCCACGAGAATCTTGCTCTTTAGCTCCTGCACGTTTTGGCTGTAGCTGGGGTTGGGAGGCGCCATCGGGGGGTCCCCTTCCCAGAGGTGAGCAAAGTAATGGATGTGAGTGTTGACTTCAAATCGGATAATGTCACTAAAGGAGGTTACATCACAGAACTCTTGCTGGGCTGCTGTAACGGCCATTTCATCTAATTTCTGCTGGAGGCGTCTTCGTCCTTCCATATTTTTTTCCTTTGCCGTTATGTCTGAGGCGTCTTCGTCCTTCCATATTCTTCTCCTTTGCTGTTATGTCTCCGACATTCTGGTGCACGAACAAGCAGCTCGGGGAGAGCTTGACTTGCTTCATCCTCAGAAATGCCTGGACAGCGATCTGCAGGATATCTTGCATTTCCGAAGGGTTCTCGCCAAAGATATTGATCACTGTCGTGTTACCAATCCCAATGACGAAGGTGGCTAGTTCATTATCATGACTAAGGGACAAATTATTGGCCATCTCTATGGCCCGGAGCCCTTCAGTATCAACAACCAGCAGGTAATCGAAGTTCAAATCCTGCTGGAGATTTTCC